AAGTAATGTACACATTAACAACTGACTAGAACCTTAGGATTAAGTAGGGACTGTAAACTTGAGAAACAAGTGTGCTTTACGCAATTCCGGAATGTAAGAGAAGCGGTTCATTTTAACAACGGTTCAAAATCAAACCAGACACAGGGCCTCAGAGAATGAGAGGATGGGGTGGGGATAAGAATGGTGATAAGTGGGTTATGGGCCTGAAGCCTAGAAAGAAGATGTCTAGGAGTGAGAATCGCTGGTTCTCAAATCCTCGAATGCGACGCAGACAGAGACCGGAATCAAAGGCTCATAGACAACCAGATTTTAGACAGCCAGACTGAGTTTAATGTGTAGCAGGGAAAAACTGACAAGAAGGGGCTAAATTAAAGTCAGAAGCCGTGACACAGAAGGCCTACGAAAGGCATCTGAAACCTGTGTAGATGAATACACTTCCACGAAACCACTTGAAGCGAAACGCGCTTAGGCAACATTGGAAGAAGAGCACACTAAATAGGTTAAAGTAAAGATTGATAGAAAGAGATGCAGCATCAAAAACAAGGAAAAAAAATAGAGCAATGAGTGATGTAAAAACGGTTGAATATAAAATCGGTCAAGGGAACTGCCTTCATTTGTCACTGATAATTTGTGACTCAATGCTAAGGATGGCGCCTATTACTGGCGTCTTGGAATGTACCAAGTCAATGATCTGATGTGGAAATCATCATAAATACTATGGCAGAGGACGCGGGACTAGGTACGTCTCACAAGTTCTCGTATGTCGCTCCAACCGTTGCAAAAACCAGGTCAAAGCAGCACTATACAGATAAAGGAGGCTGCGATCAGACAAAAGACCGAACCATCTCGGTCTCCATATCTATGATTACCTTGTCTAGGCCTACATGGCTTCACTAAGACTTACGGATACTTCGTTTGGCAAAGTGGAGTTGAAGCGCATGCAAAATTGATAATGAAGGTGAGACAAAAAACAAGAATGTTAAAGAAAATAGTGAAAAAGGACTACGATGAGTTACAAAAGAGACAGGAAGCTTTTAAGAGAAAAATAAGATAGAATAGAGTCGAATAAGGAACATTCCGTATACTAAAAATGCTTTTCTTTACAATATTAATTAGTAACAGGTATTTTGTAAGAATGAAATTTATGATTATCACCAATAAAGGTCATTATGGGATTCATTAACACCATATTGCAATGTATCACATTTTATTTCAAATTTTAATAAATTTTTCCTATTAACACTTCAATACAATGTGTCAAAAACGAGTACAACACTCCTGTAAATAGCATCTATAGCACTTAATAAGGCTGAAAGCATAAACTATGGTGGGGAGATCGAACAGTGACATGAGTGTGCGAGCTAAGCACCTGGCCTTATTGGGGGGAATGTGAAGTCTCATGAAGTCAGGAGCATTATGAGAGTTATCGTGATCACATGCATTCTTAGATATGTATAATTATAAGCCAGCTCCTGTAAACTCAGAAAACTTCGTGCTCTGCAAGCCTGCAAAATGCACAGATAAACATGACCTCAACATTTTTCTGCTTTGCTATGTAAAATAGATAATCATATCAACCTATGATCCAAGATAAAACCCATCAAAATTAGGAACAAGCCTCCAACCAGACAACGGAGATAGCATAGATCCCTAGCAGAGGATTTTGGAGCAAAAAGATCAATGCAATATTGTATGATAAAGTTTTAAAATTAGTATAAATTCCCAAAATAATTCATGAAACTAGCTATAATTGATGGACCTCACCCTGCAGAACCGAGGAGTGATCTATTCGATGCTTCAGATGTCACAAGACGATCATGATCCAATTGACAAAAGACGGGCGGGGGGGAAGGTGGTATGGAAGATGCCAAAGTAACCAAAGCTGATGTAGGAGACCGGGATGAGGGCTTTTGGTATTGAAGTGCCGTAACATTGGGCGTTAAGTCGATGAGGCGGTTGATGAGAGCAAGCCGCTTCGCTTCGACATTTGGCGAAAGGCATTCTGAACTCAAATCGACCTCCAAGAAAACTCGAAGAACAGGCAAGAAGGCTGTAGAAATTAGTAGATAAAAATATGGAAATTAAATCAACTACTGAACCAGAAAGGATAAGACAGAGTGTAATAAAAAGTTGCCTAAGAGGAAAAATAAGTACTTTTATTGATTAATTTCATTTTATTATGAATAGGAAAATAAATGCTCACTCAGCGAACTGTGGCACAATGATTAGTTTATAGGCCAACTTTGACTTCAAAGTCAGATTTGCCAATAGTTACTGAGAAATATATTCCTCATTATATCGCAAAGGTTATTTGTTACCATATAAATTATTAATCTGTATGAAGTTAAATATTGTTGAAAAAATTTGTTTAATTCCGAATCCATTCTAAATGAAAGGGCTTCTTCACTTTGTAATACGAACTTAAATTCGAATAAAAAAAGAGTTATACATCAAACAATAAGCTAATGGAGAGCCAGTGACGAAAAGAATATCCAGAGGAGTTCGGCGATGTAATAAGAATATATCCGATCACTATCACGCTCTATGATCAAAAGGCGAAGGAGCATAGATAGCGAAAATTATATTAAGTGTTATTGATAGAAATACTTAAGATGTAAGAAAAGCAGCATATTAAAACAAATAAATTTGTGTAAGCAAGGTTAGATTTACTTGACTATTATAATAAAATGTAAGAACGAACACATCATAGAAGCAAGCACGTAAATACTGTTTATTCAAAAATCATAAGTGCGAGCTAGGCAAGAGAGTAATATCGAAGGCTGAGATAAAGATGAAATTGCCCAGATTATTATTATTAACCAACATTGAAGAACTTTAGATATGATAAAGCGAACATTTCAAATTCAAATTTAAACACTTCAATCAAAATTAAGTAGAAATTCTTCAGTGTTGGGTTTAATAAAAAGTGTTTGCGATTTTAAAGGGACCATCTAGGGACTTTTTATGTCAAAACATTATACAAAAGCAATATTGCGCAAGGCTGCTATTACTCACAAAGTTGTTTGCACGAAAAAAAAGTTCGTAAATTCCGAGCACATAGACGTCTCACATAAAGAATATCTATATTGCGAATAATATACGATAGTAAAACTGCCAGGATTCATCTAAGCATATCAGAAATAATTGGTATGACTTAGCGTCATTTAATAATGACGACGCTAAATTGATTAAAAAAATAATGCAATACAAGCCACTAATTTATTTACAGGCTTCAAAGCAAAGTTATATAAAATTTGATAAGGCTAAGCCAGCGTGCGAGTCATTAAATAGCAGTATACTATAGGGAACAAATCGAACCTCAAAAATAAATATCTACAGTAGAAAAATAATTTTAATACATAAAAACAGGAAGCAGCCTAAAAAATGACTCGTTAAAGTGCAAAAAAATTATCGGAATCAATGGAATTTATAGATTGGAGCTTACTTATGTTAGGTGGACAATAAGTGCACACTAAGTTAAAGTTAATATAAATAAAATCTTGGATTACACAAAGGCAACGGTGCATTATTTCAAGATGCGACATTGCATTAGAGCTGGTTGGTTATTGAAAAAATAATAGGATAGGGCAATGCAGAAAATATAAAGATATATAAATAGCCAGGTAAGGATATTAACGTTCGTTCCATAAAACAATATTCCGGCGAAAAGCCTGGGGCGCCCACATGTCGAAACGGCATAATATTAAATAAAAATTCAGCAAGCTGAAGCCTAAATTATGTGAACTATTAATTTAAGAAATTCTATTGATTGATCGTTCTAAAGACCGATGATACAAATAGCAGGATAATAATCGATCAACATATCAATTAGTTCAAGGGAAAGCCTAGAGGTTGTAGGGTATACGAAATAAAATATAAATATCGACACAAATCCCGCTATCTTCTTATTTTATTTTTTTAGTAGGTATTAGATTAAAGTAGCGTACCTAATAGTTAACATAGGCAAGTCCCATAGTAGAAACAAGGTATAAAGAAATAAGAACAATTAGTTGCAAACAGACCAAAAGGGAGTTTTGAC